GTAGGTGAAGTGCATTATTGACTCCGAACCATGCTTGTAAGAGAACTATGCATACATAGCAAAACCACAAAATGAATGAAAAATAATTGAATGTTTCATGACACTTTATGACACTTCAAATTTGAAAACGTTTAGTCAGGCAGCTGGTTTTTTCCATCACCTATCATATTACATTAAAAGCCAGCACTACTTTCCGTGAAGCTCAAATTTATTCAACATATTTGAGAAAACTTCTATTCAAATTACAATTGTTCAACGGAAGCGGGCAAAATCCCATTCCCAAGCAAAATTCCTCTACCTTCTGGAGATGGTTGGCCAACTCGAGTTAACAGCGCACATATCTATGGTAAAAAAACTCCAAAAGTCTTGTACTTTGAGAACTCAGATAAACATCGAGTGAATAGCACACATACAAAAAGAGACTAATTTTAGGAAAAAACCATCGTTTTAGTTCTCTTCACAGTTAATCGTAAAAAAAACGAAGGAAGATTATAACCGATAAAAGAGGAGATTGGATTTATCAGATGATCTATGATATCTATGATTTCTATAAAATGTCTTCACATAAACATCGCCCCATGTTGCCCTCAGAGCCTACGGACGCTCCGCAGATGGGCTTCGTTCCATAGTGCCTCCCAGCCAAGTTTCAGTATTTTTTAGCAAGCGTATTCTCACCAAATTGATGCTTTTTAAGAAATTCTTGCACGGAAAAATGTGATATATTTTTTTCTCATTATGTTTATTTAGGAAGTTACCATCACAATGCAAACTGCAATCCTTTGGTTCCTCATAGGCATAGCTACGGCCGCCATCAGACAGCCGCTGAAATGGCGCACATCTAAAAGAGTAAGTTTCAAACCACTTCGCGAAGAATATCGAGAAAGGAGCGTGTTTAGATTGATATGATAAGACGTGGAGTTTACCAAGAATACCTGAGCCAGATGAAAGCTTTACGAGCAGCCAATCCAGGAAAGTATCGAAATAGGGTAAGAAATTGCTTACTGGATTTGTCTAAAATCAAAGAGTTGGATACTTTCTCTTGAATTTTCTTAGGTACTGGATTATCATGACTATGAATATGTTTCAAATATCACAATTGGAACACCACAACAACATTTTGTAGTAGTTCCCGATACTGGGTCCGCAGTCCTCTGGGTGCCTGGCCTCAATTGCGAGTGAGTTAAGTTTAGACACCATGAAGGCGAACATTTACTATCTCACAAAACTTCATCAAAAAGAAATATCATTTACCTCCTTTGCCTGTGTCCTTTTTGCATCCGTTGAGATGCTTTTACCTATTTTTACCATCGTGTACGGCTGAAAATATGCTTTTGAAGGTTTTGATCATGACAATCAATTTCAGCTATTCGTGTGATGGCAAACACAAATTCTCTCCCAAACATTCGCATACCTTCGTTGGTAGCCACAGAAGATGGGATATAGAATATGGTCTAGGAGACGCAAGAGGTGTTACGGGCAAAGATATAGTCAGGGTAAAGATTTTAATCTCAAAGTATCCAGATTGTCTAAGATCTACCACCCAT